TTGCACCTGTCTCTTCCACGAAATATTTTTTACTGCATATTTGTCGATGATGTACAGATTGGTTACAAATCGTGCAACACCTCAATGTGCCAACATCAAGTTCAACTAGGGTTGAACAAGGTATCTCAATGGGCAAATGAAAATGATTTTATACTCAACGCGGAAAATAGCCCTTGTGTCTTGTTCAGCCGAAGAAGGGGCCTCCATCCTGACCCCGACATTGACCTGCATGGTCAACCTCTGTCAGTAACGACCGAGCACAAGTTTCTTGGTCACATATTAGACACTAAACTAACCGTCATCCTACACATCAAGTATTTAAAGGAGAGGTGCTTAAAAAAACATTCTGAAAATGTTGTCACGCACTAAACGAGGTAGTGGCACGAAATGTGCAATGAATTTATACAAAAGCCTCGTACGCACATGCCTAGATTACGGTGCTATCATCTATCAGTCGGCAACACCATCAGCCTTGAAGATTCACGACCCCTGTCCAGCACCTAGGCATTCGCTTCTCTACGGGTGCCTTCCGAACTATCCCTGTGGAGAGCCTGTACGTGGATTTGAATAAATGGTCGCTCCACCTACAAAGAGGTTTCCTGTCCTTTTTGTACTTTTTGAAGGTGAAGGCAGACAAGAAACACCCTTCTCAATTCACACTTAATGATTTGTCTTGTTCTGGCTTGTTCGAGAACCGTCCCTCGTTTAGGCTGCCCTACGTGGTTCGTGTAAGAGGCCTGGCCGAAGAAACAAGTGTGCCTCTTCTTGAACACAGTTTGATAGCTCCTGCAACATATCTGCCACCGTGGCAGTGGCAGCTTATAGACTGTGATGTCTCTTTTGTTGAAGTCACAAAGCACGCACCACTTGCACACATACATACATACTGCCTAGAACTATAACATAAATACACATGCCCTGAGTTCTTTACCGATGCGTCAAAGTCAAACACTTCTATGTCATACGCAGCGGTAGGCCAATCTTTTTCCGAGGCCGGCGTTCTTCATCCTGATGCAAGCATTTTCACAGGAGAGGCTTACGCAATACTGGCGGTCATAAAACACATCAAACAGATAAAATACAGAAGGCGGTAATATACACAGATTCCCTAAGCGTGGTCGAAGCCCTGAAAACTACTAAAAACACAAGAACCCCGTGCTGGTGTCACTTTAATCACTTCTGTGCACCCTGTACACAACAAAACACCATGTGGTTGTTTGCTGGGTTCCAGGGCACACTGAGATACAAGGGAATGTTTTTGCCGACAATCTGGCTGCTTCCGCCAACGACACTACTCCCAATGCATATATACCAATCCCTGCACTTGACTTAAAACGTTTTCTAAAACGAAAGCTTAGGCGGTAGTGGAAAAGCACGTGGGATAAACACACAGACAATAAACTCCATGCCATTAGGCTGCAACTAGGTTATTGGCCGCCACTATCAAAATCACGACACACAGGAGTAACACTAACAAGGCTTAGAACAGGACATACACACTCTAAGCATTCATTTCTCCTATCTACCTGCAATCTATCACATTGTAAGAGATGTGGAGAACCCCTTACGGTTCACCACATTCTCGTCCAGTGCAACTAGCTGGATTCTCTAAGAAAAAAGCATTTTTTACTGCGCTACCAACAGCAGCTCCTGGTATGCTCATCGTTAGGAATCCGTTTCTTAAACTGCAAACACTTTTCCCGTTTATGAAAAATGTGCATAGCTTTCACCCGATATTTCGAGGTCATTTGTAGTACGACCTCTGTACCGTGGTCGTGGCTACGGTGACTACATTTTCATCATGGTTATATTATTATGACATTTTGCTATCCACTTTCACTACACATATCTCACGCCACTCTCATGATTTTATTACTTCATTGTTAGAACCCATGTTAGCGCGAGGAATTTTAAGGCTCCTTTACAGCCTTCATCATATCAGTGTTCATATCTCTAGTCAATTGAAATGGCGCTCTTTCGCCATCAATGGGCCCTTGCGCGATTAAAAACTGCTCATCATCATCCTCCTCATCATCATCATCATCAAAACATCGACGTTATTCTTGCAAAATTGCTTAAGAAATTAGGTTACCAAAGAAAAACGCTATAGGGCGCCACAAAAGAATGCAAGCTTGTAGCCTACAAATCACTGGTCAGGCCTCTTCTTGAATATGCGTCGGTTGTGTGGTCACCACATCTTGCAATTGACATAAATAAACTTGAAGCCATCCAGCGAAAAGCGATTAGATGCATTTTAAACCGTTATGACCGTGATTTCTCCCCTTCAGAGATCTACCATGCTTTATTGCTAAACCGTTTAGAACACAGACGTATGTGTGATCGGCTTACCATGCTACATAACATCGTTCACAATTCCTTCCGCATAGCCACACTCATTTCGTTCACCAATCATCCTACCCGTGTGACTCGCCGATTCGATCCATTGAACATTCTGTCATACAGATGTTTTATAGATTGTTATAAGTACTCCCTTTCCCTGTGCGCAGTTGACACTTGGAATAATCTGGACACTACTTTGAAATGACTACCGCAAGCGCTGTTTGTTAAACAATTGTCCAATTATGTAATTTGATGTTTTTAGTTTTGCTGTTGTTCTCTTTTTGATCATTTATTGGTTGTTGAACAGGGGTCTAAATACGTAATTTCATGTTTTTTTATTTCTGCTGTTTTTGTTCGTTTATTGTAACCACTCCTGCAATGTCTAAAACATGAGACAGCAGTATCTGTGAATAAATGAAAAAATTAGAAGAAAATAAATAAGAGGACCTTTTGAGGGCATGATAATGCCCTCACGAAGGCATACTGAGGACGTCTTGAGATTGTGTTTGTGTTGTCTCTGAAGTATGCACTTAGTGGTTGAAGGGCGCACTAGGGGCCAGAATTCGCTATCGCGTTTAACTCCTAAAGGCGAAGCTTAATGGTCCCCCAATTTTCGCTGGTGCTGCTAAATGCAAGCCGTTGAAATGTTCATGCACCGCCGCTCTGACATTGCGTACGATTTACAGCGTTTTACGGGTTGACGCACAGTACTGCTACTGCAAATTCAATTTATGCGATTCGGCACCAGCTAAACATAAAGTTTCTCTATAGTTAAAAAAGCATTACATATTAGGCGAGTTTAGAATAAAAGTCATGTGTATTGTAGGGCTTCATTGACCACCGCGGACATACACTCACACTGTCAATATTTATTGCTTAGGCATTTGTAAAGTAGGGTCCTTATAGAGCTATAATTGAGGTCTAAATATCTTGCCTATATATAACCAACACAGAATTAATAGTGTGTAGCACGAGCGGCATGGTGTGGTCAATGTGGTTTTATAATATCACGCGAACGTTGCGTGCATGTTTGTGTATGTGTGATCAATATTGGGGGCTTCGAAGGTAATTTAATGAAAGTTACGCCTGCACATATTACGGCTGTGGACATTTTTTTTGCATGGATGTAAAAAATTCACTCCCACACTGACTTGGGAAAATTTCCTGATGGATGTTTATAAAAACTTCCTTAAATCTGTCCAAAAGCCCTTTTATTCGTGGAGTAAATTTATTTTTTTTACAAATTCTAGATGGTGTTTTTAAAACCCTCATTGGGTTTTAAATCTTGTCTTCTCACTTGTCCTCTCACTGGAGGACAAGTCATTCACTCTCATCTCGGCTTATTTTTGTTTACCTTGTATTAAAAAAATTTAATGATTAAAGGCTGCGTGCCTACGTGATTTCGGACGCCATGCTTTAACTGGTACATGCCGCATTACTTCTCTTAAGCACTCAGAGACAGTGGCACCACACCGCTGCTTCGCCAACAGAGACGATGAAATGGGAGAGAAAAGGGGCTTTTAGCTTGTACGTATACTTATTTACGTCACTGTTTCACCAGATGCTGGATAGAATCTGCGCATGCGTGGGTCTTTGCGGAACGTAAACCATTAGTTTTCCCGCTGGATAGGCGTTAAGTTTCTACCCTATTTCGCAAATCCCCCTCCGTTCGTAGAAACTCGCGGTATTCGCACTGCGGGTACTCAAAACGTCGAGTTGCAATCAGCCGAAGTGCGAGCGCCAATAGTGATTACATTGTTTAGCCGGACTACCAAAGCTAGAACGCCTAGGTCATAGACGCCATAAACCTGCGAGCCCCCGACAAGCTGGATATGTGGCACCAACCAGCGGGGCTATAATTAACCAAGCAATCACAAAATTTTTATTGCAGAAAGATTTTGCATTGTACGTCTGGCGCGAATACCGCACAATGGCGTCATTACAAGTTGGTTACCTTTTTAATCATTTTGGCCTCAAAAACAAAACGCGTAGGCCAACGTGTTTATGACCGTGGTTTCACGAAGTGTCACAAGGTGTCGGCACCATATTTTCAGTCCCCTTGCATTTTTCATTCTTTTCAGCATACGAGGATTTCGTACACAATAAAAAACGTTTCGTAATTTTGACACACCGGTGATTGAATCTAATGTAAGTTAAATGCACTCTAAACGGAGTTAGCATCACCATTGATGGTTTACGTACATACGTAGACGTTTACGCATGAGGAGCTAAAACGTGAAAAGACGTGCGTTGCGGTAAGACGGCAAACGCATACTGGTATCCGGCAACTAATTAACGTAAAGAAGTATGAGTACAAGCTAGAAGACCCTAATCTGTGAAAGATAGGAGGCGAGTGCGATTAGCTCCGTCTGAAGAAGTTTTTCCCATGTTTTCAATAGCAAAACAGTTGATAGTCACAGCTCAACCCGTCTGTACGTCTTTTGTGTGGTCTTTACTTGCACCCCACCTTAACGTTGAGACGATGAACCGAATCACTGAGTAAACAGTTTTATCACTATGTTTTCATAGAAAACAGAAAACTGCGCATAAATAAGGGACACAGGCGGAAAAAAGTCTACGGTACTAGCGCGTCCCGTCCTACAAGTATGTCCAGTAGGTTTGCTTCAATCAGTTCAAGAGTAGAAGATCAGAACACATACCACAGTGTCATAAGACATATTTGCCATTACGGCTGAAACAATGTTGTACTTTAGTATCGAATACCATAGTGTTCCTTGAAAGAAGTCTCCAGCGTTGAGAAATAAAGGGTTCTGTGTATTGTTCTTGAGGGTTCTGACCTGAAAGTAACAACACGTAAAAAACGCCTTATCTTCATATTCTTAAGTATTGTCCTTGTACTCATCAGAATATAACTAGTTAAAGATACAGACTCTTAAACGAGGTATGTTGCTCCCTTCTCCAGCCGCGTCAGTACTCAATGTGTTTGCTCTAGTTCAGCGTTTCTAGAAAAATGAGCCATAAGAATGCTGTTTGAAGCATGGACGAAGACGACAGACAATAAAAGTACCATGAATCACCTTTTACGGTGACATCTACAGTCTGAAGAGTTTTGGTGATGCGGCATTACTTCTCGCATTTACAGTGCAATATTATAGTTGCAGATATTGTAAGAAACGAACAAGAAGACCCGGAACTGAACGTCTGGCCACATCCAAGTGCTACAAAACAATTTAACGAGCCAGCACTTGTGGCTCTTGGTGATTTCCCTTCTTCATCCTTTATTTGCAATACACTACCGTGGCCGCAGAAGCTTATTAAGTACTGCCTGCTACGAGAAGGTATAGTTTGTGCACCGGTCATCTAATGGTGGAGGTTGACACCAACCTCAAGAAGTACGTTCGTGCGATGTTGTCGCGGCCGGGAAGCAGTTTGGTTACGCGAGCCATATTGCACATTGATGGCGCTGAGTTTTCATGCACGTGGACAACATCGCGGACCTGAAGTCGTGATGCCTTGGGTGCCACTTCGTTGGCCGAACGCAGAAGCAACAAGAACTCCTTTCGCCAGCGTTTCCAAAGATGATCCATCGACGCTTGTAAATATCCTCGATGTCGCAGATCGGCGTTCGTTGGCTGAGGTATAGCTGGGCCGCAATGTTGCGGCAAGCATGTCACACGTTTGCCAAGCAGGAATTTTGAACGTCTGAGTGAGGTTGATAACACACGTGCGCCGGGTTGAGTTACTCAGGCCCATTAAATGGTCAATCTAGCCTAACATCAGGTGAAAATTTTGCTGACATTGCATTTAGACAGAACCTCCCTAACCCGTTTCCAGTTTCAACCAAGCTCCTTTTTTGGCATTTTTGCCGGTACTCTTACTGAAGTTTCACCTTTTTCGTTTTCACGGCATTGCTATAGCAACATCCACTTTTAATAGGGCGATTGTAAGAACATGTTGAGAAAACTTGAAACTAAGAGCGCACGAAAAAACACAAGAAAGGAACTTTTCAACCCCTATCTGCATCACTGAGCAAATGATACAAATATTGATAAAAAGGTATAAGTACGCATATATTAAAAAAGAAAAAAATTATATATAGTTATAGAGAGAAAAATAAAAAAAAACGTGGGATATATATTAAGCTATACCACAAGTTGCAAACAAAAAAAACCGTCAGGGCCGAAAATATATCGTGTGGTGTTTTCACATCAGCTGGTGTAGCATTCTACATGAGTGCGTCATGAAAAAATTTGGTAGATCTCACGGACAGTTGGAATCGATGATACGCGAAGCAGGAATGAGGAAGGTTGATATGTCAATTTAAAATCAGCCTAATGTTACGAGGCGGAGGTATAGTACACCATACATAATCTCATCAATACTATCAAGTGTGAACGTGTAATTTGCCTTCGTTGTCTAATCACCCCACGTGATACCAAATTTGGTAGATGTTGAGCTAGCGAAACTGGCACGAGCATGCTAAGGACATAGCATAGTGTCATGTTTTACTTGAAACGGATGTCATGATTATCATGTTTAGATGTATTATTTACTGCCATCGTCTATTCACGTCACGCAATATCGAATTTGGTATGTGTAGAAGAACAAAACGGCAGGAGCGCACTAAGATCGTCGATTGTAGTCATGTTTTACCTGACACGCATATGATGATTTTCATTTTTTTGACGAGTCATTTACTTTCGTCGTCCATTTACGTCATGTATTACCAAGCTTGGTACTTATAGAATTGGCCGGGGGCACGCTATGAGCGTCGCATGTAGTAATCTTTTTTACTACGAGCATATCATGATTATCATGTTTAGAAGTATCAGTAATCTTCGGTGACTGTCACGTCGCATGTAGTAATCTTTTTCACTACGAGCATATCATGATTATCATGTTTAGAAGTATCGGTAACCTTCGGTGACTGTCACGTCACGTGATATCAAATTTGGTGTATATGAAGCTAGCAAGACAGCCGCGAGCGCGCTAAGAGCGTAGCATGAAATTGTGCTTTACATGACACACATGTCATGATTATCATGTTTGGACGTGTCACATATCTTCATCATCTACTCGCCTCACGTAACACCAAATTTCTTTTATGTGAAGCTAGCCAAACGGCCATGAGCGCATCATGAGCGTGGCATGTGGTCATGTCCTTACATGACACGTATGTTGTAAGTATCATGCTTGCACCACCATATACCTCCGTCGTCCGTTGGTGTCACGTAATAACAAATTTGGTATAAGTAAAGCTAGAGAAACGGTAACGAGCACATCATGAGCGTGGCATGTAGTCATGTTCTTACATGACACGCATGCCATGATTATCATGTCTGCACCTTCGTTGTCTATTTGCGTCTCGAAGCACCAAGTTTGGTGTATGTGAAGCTAGCGAAACGACCGTGAGTGCATCATGAGCATGGCATGTAGTCATGTTGTTACATTAGAAGAATTTCATCTATATCACGGATGCAACAGTCATATAGCTTCATCATCCATTCACGTACCTTAATCCAAATTTGGTATATGCGAAGCTGGCGAAACGACCATGAGCACACCATGAGTGTCGTGTGCACTCATGACTTACATGGCATGCATGTCATAATTTACACGCTAGGGTTTGGCACATATGTTCGCCATGCAGTCATTTCATACCATACCAGCTTTCAGTATGTCATGTGAACGAAACCACCACAAGAGCAGCAAGACCACGAAACGTAAATCATTACATTCATGACATACATATCATGATTTTCTTGCTATGACTAGTCACTTATGCTCGTCATACACTCGTATTTTCTCATACCAATTTTGGTATTGATACCTTTATTGAAAAGGCCAGAAGAGCTAAAAGTCGTAGGCCGCTAATAGACGAATATATATATATATATATATATATATATATATATTGTCACGGGGTCGTGACGTGGCCAAAGACAGGAAACTGCGCGTTGGGATTTAACTGTTTATTTGGGCGAACCTGTGCTCCGTCAAGGGAAAGTCTAATTAGAGCAGCAGTCTTGCACAGATAGCAGTCTCGGACTGATAGCGGCGAACGCAGCCTCGGCCTTCGATCAAGAACTGACAAGCGGCGAAGCGCGTAGGCATTTGTACCCTTGCAGTCGAATGTTCTAGCGTTATCGCTGGCGGTGGCGTAGGTTCCAGAACAATCTGTACCGTTCGCACAGTGGGCGTGATCTTATCGACATGATCTACTACAGTCCGGAACCTTCTCGAAACCTGCAGGCGCGGTTTGCGCCGAGAATCGTGTGGTGTTTCGGAACGATAACAAAAACTTGTGAAATGGAACGTGGCATTTCCCCCCTCTGAAAAAAAGGCATCGTCCCGATGCTTTAACTAAAGATGAAGGTACAATAATAATGCAAGAAAGTACAATGAATAAATTACAATACAACAATAATACAAAAAAACACCGTTTCAGTTTGTTAACGTGCATGAAACGGCTTGAGGCGCGCGACATGGACGACTTCAGGTCGCGATCGGCGTCGTTGAGAGTTCGTGATGCCGTCGGGGACAACCTCGTAATCAAGTGGGCCGAGACGTCGAACCACCTTGTACGGTCCGAAGTACCGTCGCAGAAGCTTTTCACTTAGTCCACGTCGGCGTATCGGCGTCCACACCCAAACATGTTCACCGGGCTGGTATTCCACGAAGCGTCGTCGAAGGTTGTAACGGTGGCTGTCGGTCGTCTGTTGATTCTTGATACGAAGACGCGCAAATTGTCGGGCTTCTTCGGCGCGTTGAAGGTGCTCGCTCACATCGAGGTTTTCTTCGTCGGTGACGTTGGGTAACATTGCATCGAGCGTCGTTGCCGGACTCCTTCCGTAGACCAATTTGTATGGAGATATCTGCGTCGTCTCCTGCACCGCCATGTTGTATGCGAAGGTCACATACGGAAGAATGGTGTCCCACGTCTTGTGTTCGACATCGACGTACATTGACAGCATGTCAGCGATCGTCTTGTTAAGCCGCTCGGTGAGGCCGTTGGTCTGTGGGTGGTACGCTGTCGTCTGGCGGTGGTTTGTTTCGCTGTATGCCAAGATCGCTTGAGTTAAGTCGGCAGTGAATGCCGTTCCTCTGTCGGTGATAAGAACCTCCGGGGCGCCGTGACGTAGGACGACACGAGGTGCTGCTTCGTTCATGTACCGGACGCTCCCGTCAAGCCGTGTACCCAGCACCTCCACCAGATGTCACGGGGTCGTGACGTGGCCAAAGACAGGAAACTTCGTGTTGGGATTTAACTGTTTATTTGGGCGAACCTGTGCCCGGTAAAGGGAAAGTCTAATTACAGCAGCAGTCTTGCACAGATAGCAGTCTCGGACTGATAGCGGTGAACGCAGCGTCGGCCTTCGATCAACAACTGACAAGCGGCGAAGCGCGTCAGCATTTATACCCTTGCCGTCGAATGTTCTAGCGTTATCGCTGGCGGTGGCGTAGGTTCCAGAACAATCTGTACCGTTCGCACGTCTTATCGAAATGATCTACTACAGTCGGGAACGTTCTCGAAACGTGCAGGCGCGGTTTGCGCCGAGAATCGTGTGGTGTTTCGGAAAGATAACAAAAACTTGTGAAATGGAACGTGGCAATATAGATAGATAGATAGATAGATAGATAGATAGATAGATAGATAGATAGATAGATAGATAGATAGATAGATAGATAGATAGATAGATAGATAGATAGATAGATAGATAGATAGATAGATAGATCGATAGATAGATAGAGACGCTCAAAGTCCCGAAGTTCACTAAGAAAAGCATCACATTTTCATCACATCACACTTTTGGGAGGAACAGAGGAACGCCAACGT